CTAACACGTTAAAAATGGCCTGGTATACAATTTATAATGATTTTTCAAAGTTAAAGGTCAGAATCTGGGAAAAAGGGTTTTTGGCAAATGGACAGTGTTGCATTTCTCAAAAACCCGACACTTTTTCATAAGGAATTGGATAATGAGATTATTTTTCCTTGAAATAGGACTTAAAAATCTTTAAGTAGAATTTTGAACCACCCCAATTGGATTTTTATGGAATAAGTTATGAATTTTTGAATTGGGCCAGAAAAACTGGATTTTACCTGATGAATAGTAAAAATCCGAAATTTAGTGTTTTTATGGTAAAAAGTGAGCCCAAGACCATCCAATGTGGTTTAAAATGGTTTTGAAAGGAACCTAAGTCAATATAATAGTAAGGTGTGACACAATTCCTGTTGTTAACGCATACTTTCTATTATTATTGAAAGTTTATTGAAATTGATAGTTGAATGATGTGCAGCAATAGATTATAAATGGCTATTGGTGGTGGGAAATAACTATTTTGCATCTTCCATATGGGAGGGGAATTTGTAAAGACCTTAGAAGGAAAATTGGTATATGAAAGGAGTACTATAAGTAGAAGTTTGATCAGAAAAGGGATGATATATGAAGAACTACAAAGCATGGTAGCAAATAATGTTTGGCCATGCAGTGGTCAATATAAAATGAAGTATACAGTTAGTTTGAACAGGAAAACATTTTTGGACCTTATCGATGATATTGAAGTAGGACAATGGACCTTAAAAGCTATATCAGATTTTTTTCTCCCTTACTATCTACTTACCCATGCATTTAAACACTCATTTCTATATTATTCAACTATTACAACCTAACTATTCTCAATAGAACGAAAATTTTGGGAAAAACAGTTTACCTCACGCACCAAGTGTCACATCCCAAAAATTTTTATCTGGTTATAAGGGATCAAAAATTGGGATAATGGCCAATGTAGGAACTAGACAGGAAAATGAAACAACTTTTGATGTGAAACCTCGAAAAGGTCCAGGTAGGCATTTCTTTAATTATCGGTCTAAGAAGGGCAAAACAGGAAAATTTGGAAAAAAAACTCTAGAAAATCCTTGAAAAATGGAAAAAGTGTAAAATAGAGGTTTTTGGAAACTTAGTTGAGGTCTGAAAGATGGAATTTCAGGAAAATAAATTATTATGGAATTTCCCGTAAATAGAGATTTTTCGAGAAAATATTAGAAAATCAGGGGAAAATAATTATTTTAATTAGTTAGAGGCATCAATAAATTTAATAGATTGATGGATAAATAATATAAATATTTACTTGAATTTATAAAATTAGTTTTAGGCCTTGGAAGCTCAGAAATTAATTTTAGGCAATTTATTTTCCCTCAGAACTACCGATAAAGGCCTAATCAGAGAAAATTCAAAATAAATACCTAGAGGTGGCAAAAAATTATTAAAATTTCCAAATAATGTTCTCATATTAAAAGGTGAATTATCATAGAGAGAAATGAATTTTTGGAGGTCTCAAAAAATTATAGAATGTTACTAGTGAATAGTAACCGATAAAGTTTCAAATTGGTTTGAGATAGTGATTTGGCTTGTGGGTCATCTTTTTGGACCAGTCCAAACCATTTGTGGGTCCCACATTGAGTCTAACAAGGGCCCGATTTTGTGCACCTTCCAGGTCCCTCCATTTTTATTAAATAAAATGCAAAATTTATTGATAAATGCTTGGAAAAATCTAGAGAAAAGCCACATGGTGAGATTTGAAGGTTTGAGGCACTTGATGGCTTCCAACATGGCCTCTTATCTGTCATTTTCAGTGTGATAATTAAGGAGAAAATGGCAGATTATTTGGTCTATAAATACCCCCTTTAAAAATACAAATAAATGTTGAAAAATTGGAAAAACAAGGGGAGGTTATGTCACTGTAGCTCAGCCCTATTTTTCAAAATTCTTGAGTGTTTTGGGCAAGGAATCATCCAACTTACACTAAGGAAACATTAAGGTATGTTTAAGCATCATTATCCCTAAGTATTATATTGATTGGATTAGGATTTTTAATTGGGAAAATGCTGGAAAAATGCTAAAAAGTTTGGTTGCGATGTGTGATGCTTAGGGAAGGATAGAAGCCTTAATAATCAAGTGGAATAAGGAAGATTAAGTGGTGTATGGATTGATTTTTGGAAGAAAACCAAGTTAGGGTTTTGGTTCTTCATTTTGGCCAGCACTATTCATAGGGAAGGAGTTTGTTTTTCATTGATTTGATGATTCCAATGGCTTTAAAATATGTTTTTGTGTAGGGATATGTTGTTGGAAAGTGCTTAAAATCATTGGAATCAAAAATAGAATTTTTAGAAATTATAACCCCCTATTTGGCCAAGGTGAGTTCATGGGGAAGAAATGGGAATTTCAAAAATCTAATTGCTCCATTGGATTCCTCATAAAAAAAAATTGTGTAGAATTGGGTCATGGGATGATTGATTCTAAAGAAGGAATCATATTGTTAAAAATTAAAGAAAAAGGGGAAAATTGTTAAGTTGAAGTTAAAGTGTTGTAATTAAGTTGTTTAGGGATTAATGTGACCTATGTTTATGCTTGGTTTAATAGGCACTGTGAGGAGGAACCAAGAGGAAGATTTGTTCTTGAAGTAACCAATTGGACAAGTGTCAAAGAGGTAGCTTTGAATTATAATTTGATTGTTAATCTTGCTTGTTTAATGTGATTTGTTGTTTGCTTGGATAGAGGAACTTGTGTTGTGCATGGATTGGTTGAATAACATTGGTTTATGCTTTGGCCAAATGCATTCGATTATGTCATTGTGGAAGTGTTGATGTTCCTCTTTTAGCATGACATTAAGCATGATTTTATGTGGTTGATTATGCCTTGAGGTATGATAACATGTCACATGATAACTTACTTGATTTGCATGATAATTGTAATTCAAATGCTACTGAGATTTTATGGAAATCTCATTCCTCCTCTGTTAAATTATGACTCAAACAGGGAATACTTCATCCGATGGCAAGGGCAAGAAAATGATTTTGGGATAGAGGAGCATTATGGAATTGATGCTATTATGTTATGTTGTGCAATGTATTTGTATGACATGCTTAAATGTTGGAATATTAAATGGTATAATGTCAAAAGAGTGTAGGAAAAAGGAAAATGGGAGATAAATTAAAGAAAGTAGCATTACGGGATAAAATCTCCCTAAAAGAGGCTAAATTTGTGGCACATAAAAGAATGAGTGATTATTACAATTTGGGCAAGAAATTTCACATGCTTATAGATCTCATTTTTAGATTTAAATCAAGTAGTAAACCATCAAATTTGGAGTTTTGTGCTAAGAGTTGTGCCCTTCCAAAGTTGGGCAAAAATACTGGAAATTGGAAAATGGACCAAATAAACAGTGCATCTTATCGATTTTTCTGGTGCTGTTCTGGATAGAATTGAGCCAAATGAATATTTTTTCTCTATAGAACTCTTAGCAAGCTTCGTGTGAAAATTGGAACCACCTCATTTTGAGTTTTCTAGAATTAGTTATGAATTTTCAAAGTTGACCTATTTTCAGATAAATAGTGCACGGACAGAATTAAATGTGAAATTTTAGAGTTGAAATTTTTCATCTGAAAATGCTGCGAAACACGTTATAATAGTTCTAATTGATGTATAATATGTTATAAAGAGAGGTGTGACACCAAGCTCTTATTTTTTCCCTCTTTTTTCTTCCTTTTCAGCAGGTACAATTCGTGGGGCATTTCAGTAAAATGGCTTCAACAATTAATTTCAGTTTGCCCTTGGGTCCTTCAGTGAAATTTCAGAATCTTTAACTGAAATTTCTTTTTTTTTGGGTGCTGTTTGAAATTAATTCCCATCTGTGGTCCTTAATCGAAATTTTCCCATTTTTATATCATAAACCGATTCAATTTGAGCCATGCATGCTAAATTTTATATATATCACATATATTCGTCAACTGATTTGTTCCTCAGACTTCGATCTAAAAAAGAAAAAACAAAAGATCAGTTCCTCAAACACAAACCTTTGAAAATGTGGCAAATATAATAAGAAAACTTATTTCTCAAAGTTTAAAAAAAGAAAATTACAATAAATTTGATGGCATTTTTAAATATACTGTAATGTTTAATTCAGTAAGGCAATAAGCGCAAGTACTTGAAATGCAAATTAATTTTCTCAACCTCACAAACCTTTGAGTAACAAGAAGAAAATAGTAGTCAGGTTTTTTTTATTTAAAATTGGCAAGGTTTTTTTGATTATATTCACCACAAAATTTATATGAAACTAATTATCTCTCTTTACTTCAATTATGATTTTGAATCAGTCTATAAAAGATGGCTCAATAATCCAATGATTCAACATAATTTTACAATGACCAAAAAGTCAACTAACAGCGAAAAGGTTAGCAGATTTCATAAGCCGCCGCGTGACCACCCTCAACAAAACTCGTGGCTTCGTGATACAACTTTCCTCTAATTTACATTGAAAATTCTTTAATAGAAGAGAAATATGATCCTGTAATTTCAGGTCAAACAACCCAAAACTCTTGATCATAATGGGAAAACGTAAACATTAATAATTATAATGCAGTCACAGAATTGTCATCAATGAAGCTTGAAGGTATTTGACAATATTCAGGCACATTAATGGTGGTCAATGTATGTAATATTTATTTATGTGAGGAAATAGGCTTAAATTTGTATAGAAATGAATTTTCTGAAACTTTCATGTACTTGTACTTGAATTACTAGGCTATGTTCTTTTGATGAATAGAGTCTATATAATAAAATTGTACCCAAAACAAGAAAATGGGAGACATTTTCAGAAAATTTTCACTTTCTCTTCCATGAAATATTACTGCGTTTTCCATTGAAGAGGAAAGGCTATGCTTCTGGGTTGCTTATAAATAGAATGATTGTCATAAGTTGAAGGCAAAAAGGTAACACGAGAAGATTGAAATTCCAAAATATATTAGTATTGTTGCTGGCTAACTACTTGGTGGATTTTGCAAAATGAGTTCGGCTACAAAAAAGAACAGTATTGGAGACAGTCTTGGTTACGGTACTACTTATTATAGCTCGCAGAATTCTTCAGATGGCTCAAGTTCAAAGGGAACTAAGGTTATCGGAGACAGCCTTGGTTATGGTTCTACATATAATTCACAGAGTTCTTCAAAGAATTCAACTTCAAAGGGACCAAATAAGGTCATCGGAGACAGTCTTGGTTATGGTTCTTAAAATGATGATTACTGGTAATCAAATTAAAATAGTGTACTTTTTATTTATACAATTATGTTACACAGCTTTTTCTGTTCTGTTAGTTGCAATTTTTGTGATAGAGCTGGTCCTTACACTTCGTATATGTCTGAAATTTTATTTCACTTTTTTCATTTTTAATTACCCTCATTGGTTGCATGTTTATGGGGGTGAGCAAAATAGCTTACGCGTCTATGCATTAAATTAAAGTCTCATCTTTTTATTTCACACATTCTTTTTTTATCTCTTTTTCTCGCTCTTCCCCACCCCCCACTCTGTCACTCACCCTTTGTATAAATAAGAGTATATTTTTAAAAAAATACATTTCTTACATACTCATTGTCTTTAACAAACTTTAGTGTGCTTTTATATCTACATATATTGTTCAGTTCTTTTTATCTTTTATATATATATATATATAGAGAGAGAGAGAGAGAGAGTCCAAAGAGTATTTTTTATGTATTAATTCTTGGTCGTTATATACATGCAGTTTCATGTAGAAAGGGACCTATGCGGGAACTGGAAGAAAAGATTACTGTGTGGAAAATTCCATCATGTCTTAAATTATTTTTGTAAAATTTATTCATGTCTTATTTTTGTATGAAACAAGAATGTATCTAGTAATCTCCAGATCTATTTGCAGCATGGCAGTTTGAGAATCTTTTCCATTGTGTGTGTGTGTGTGTGTGTATATATATTGGTTGGTTTGTCCATATATGGGCCTTATTTCTTGTAAATAAAATAAAATAATATTTCATATATTACTGTCTATGGATATATACATTATTTCGGTCCTGAGGTTCAAATTCTTCAGCTTTTTCTTTAATCATCAAAAGCAATAAAAGATTTAAATGATAATAAGATCAATAGCACTACATGTAGTGATATTATGTTAAAGATCGCGAGCCATATCAAGTAATAAAGTTGTAAAGCAGAGTTTCATTCTCATTATGACATGGTACTAACAACCCAATCAAGCGTTTATCTCACATACGATGTGTCGTAGTTCATATGATTTTAATTTTTAAAAAATAGGATTTTTTCTTCTATTTTAAATTTTCCATTCCATTATTCAAATAGGAAAATATTCACATCAAGTTCGTTATATTTATTATGTTAAATTCTCCAATAACATATAGCAATGTGTCCTATTTTTTTCATGTGAACTAATAGTTTAATGACAATACTTTAAAAATAGTAAATATGATCATATATAATTAGAAAACTTGATATAATGAGTATAATGCGCCTAATATAAGTATTATCCATTCGAATATACCCACTAAATAAAACTCATGCACTGAACGATATAATATCTTCAAATTGCACGAAAAATCCTTACAGCGCAACCAAGCAGTCCCTTACAGTGCAGAATATTTTATACAGACATTCTATTCGAGGTAAGGTTTAAGACTTTGCATTATATTGTTTCGTACAAGAGAAAATAATGGGTTTTATTTAAATAAATTAATAAACAAATCTCAGACAGAATTTCACGCGAATAACGTGGATATTTACAATAACAATATACGTGTTTCCATGTTTTATGAAAATTGAATACTGAAGGGAAGATTAATAGCATAAAAGCCGTGTGAACAACAGAGGCAAGCTATCTACAAGATAACGTATTTATTTGAACACATCAGCTTTTATCCAACATGTGTAGTTCCTCGGAAAGGCTTTCTCATTTTAAGTGAAGTTCCATGATAAGTTTCCGGGAACATATTTTTTGAATCAAAGAGATGGGAACTAACCATATGAGGTTACAAGTAAGATTGAACTCTTGCTACTTTCTATTTACAAGGGGGCATGCAATCCACTAGATTCCAAAGTCTTCAGCTTTCAGAAATACTACTTCTGGTCCTCAATATAACAACTAGTTGACTAATTTGAATAGATTAAGAAAATTAGTTAAGTTAGTTATTTGTAATAAATAGGTGTTATTTTTTCTAAAATACCCTTCCTAATCATGTTTATTAGTTACAACTACCATTTGATGAAACTTTAACATGTGCAATTACTACAAGGACTACCCTAAAAAAAAAAAGATAAATATAAGAGATAAAGTAGATTGGAGACTTATGTTTATAACCAAATTAAATTTCAAGTTACCCTTTATATTAAGGAGATGAGGTAGTATATTTAATCATATTGTTTAGCCCAATTGAGAATACCTCTATCAACGTGATTTTTCTCCATCAACAAGATTTAAATTCTCAAAATTTTAATTTGGATCAAGATCTTTTGGTTCAATGATGAAGTTAGCAATTCTTTTTTTCCTCGGAGGAGAAAGCTAGTAATTCTACAACAAAAGAAATTAGTTCCTTATATATATGTCCCTTAAATAAATAGAGTCCTTATATTTTACCCTAAATAAAAGAACACATCCAAGATGAAGTAAATAAATACCATGAGCAACAGAAACTTTCAACAAAATTTAAAAGAAAATAGGATACATGTTTAGTTAAATTTCATTTGCTTCTCCCCGAAATATTAGTTCATTTTTCATTAATTGCGAAGGATCAGTGATTAGCTTCTTTGTTTGGATTCGGAAAGGATTGCCATTTTATGTGAAATTCATGGTAGATAAGTATAATTTCTCCTTTATATTATTGTAACGTAATAATAGTTAGATAAAGGGTTTTTGTTGCTAACTTGAGGATCTGATGCTATTCCGATAAATAAATAAAATTTAAAGTAAGACATAGCATTATTTAGAGAACCTGGCTGATTGACAAAGTCATGGAAAGCCCACCTAGGGCTAGCCCTGGTTGGGTATAAACTTAATAATGATTATATTAATTTATTTTTTGAAAAATGTATTTCAAAATATTTAACTGGTATAAAAGGAAAAAATCGTATTTCCAAAAATGTTTAATTGGAAAGTAGGTCATTAATACGGAACTACAAGGCCTAATTAGTTGGGGGGAAAAGAAGGAATAAAGAAAATTTTAAATAGTTTAATAAACAGGGTAAACATTGATAGAATTATACATAAAAATATAACTGTACGAAATGTCCAATCTTCTATTTTTATTTCTCGCCTTCATTCTAGTTTTGCCGCATCAGTAATATTTTTTGGTAGAACACCTCAATAAGCTAACTCCTTATTTAAATTTTGAAAAGAAAACAAAAGCTTCAATATGAAAATTTACGAGACATTGGAAAGAATTTTCAGGTCAAATTTCGTGAATTTTCAGGAAAGAATTATTATTGTATATATTTTATTCAAACCCCAATTACAGTAAGTATACTCTGAAATCTTGAAACTTCTCCTCAATAGGTAACGTTTTCTCTCGACTGTAGTGAAATTTCTTTAATTTCCTGATGTTGTAGAAAAAATATTCCTTTAATTCAGGATCAAACCCAAAACTAGTAACTTTAATAGAAAAAACTTAAATTAAACTTCACATTAATTAAAATGTCCTTCATCTAAATCATGAGAATTTTCTTACATGCTCTTACTTGAATTACAACCATATGTGTTCATATAATGAATAGTCTGCATATAAATATACATAAAACAAAACACACGACCCAGCCGAGCAAAACAAATACGGTAACCAATCTTAATTATTTATGAAAATTATAGAAAACTTCAATGCAATTTAACAGAAACTGGGGTGAATTTTCAGAAGACTTTCATCTTCCTTTCCATGAAATCCTTTTGTAGTTCCATTACAGCAGACAACTAATTTAAAAATATTTTAAAACTTAGTTAAATTAGTTATTTGTCACAAATGTGTGTTCATGTTTTTGTGGAACTCCTTATAATCAATAAAAATATTTAGAGAAAAATGGGAGACAAAGTTGACTGAGGTCTTATGTTTATGATTAAATGTAACTCCTCAGCTAGCTTTTTTTATTAAAAATAAGAGGTAGTATTAATGTTAACTTCTTCTTAATTAAAACATCTCTGTATGTATTAATTCTTCGTCCTAATTAATTTACATGCAGCTTCACGGGGAGGTGGGGCCTTTAATACTATAATTGGAAGCAGTAAGCAGATTTCATTATTCAATTCATATTCATATGTTTTGTTAATTATATGTTGACTTTCCTTAAATAAGAGGGCTTAATACATCTTCCTAAACAAAGCCTGTGTTTTTGGAGTTTATATATTTACGCACCATTTGTAGTGTGAATAAAAAGAAATAATATGTAATGTTGTGATATTGGATCCTATAATCAACATGTTAGTTTATTATATTGTGAAGTGCAATAAAATCAATCTATATAAATCTAGATGACATGCTTTTCTTTATACTGCAAAAAGTCTAAACAAAATAGGTTGTACTTTTTTATGGATTATTAAAAAAAATTTCAGTTAACCGCCCACTAAATTTTTTTTTTTAAAAATAAGATGGCTAAGAGTTCATGGGTTCAAACCCGTCCTTAGTCACTTTATTTCTTTTTTAAAAAAATCTCCGGTCGGCAGAGCTTTGATTTTTTTTGAAAAAAATAATGTGAGGGCATAATCATATTTTTACCCATAACATTTAATTTCATTTTGATCAAATGGGCTGAAATGATGTTTCAAAATCTTATAGGAGCTATGGGAAATTAGATTGCTTAAGAGGGGGTTAAATGACATTTTCCCTTATAAAAACCACACCTTAGAGATTTTATATTTTAGATGGGTTCTATATACAAAAACAAATTGGCTAAGGTATATTATTGATTTTTCACTTCTTAATTTTTCGCTTTGATTTTGTTTTCAACCATTAATTCGATTTAGTGCTAATTTTCTTTCCTAACTTGATTAAAAATTTACTTTTCTCCCTTAATTTTTTTATCTAATTTATTCTCTGTCCTAGCTAATACTTTCGTTATGCTCCCTTAATGGTGATCCACGTCGAACTTTTTAGAGAATATTTTAATTTGATGGAATTGTGAAAAAATATAATTATTTTTTAATTAACAATACAGAAAATAAAATTTGAAACAAAGTGAAACTCTTAATACAATTGAGGTAATAAAAATACAATTTAACATATAAAATAAGGGGTGCGGTCAGTTAACATTTAACCCCTATAATTTTTTTCTTTTATCTAATTTATTCTCTGTCCTAGCTAATACTTTCGTTATGCTACCCTAAATGTCCCTAATGGTGATCCACGTAGAACCTTTTCGAGAATATTTTGATTTGATGGAATTATGCAAAAATATAATTATTTTTTAATTAACAATACAGAAAATAAAATTTGAAATAAAGAGAAACATTAAATACAATTATGGTAATAAAAATACACCTATAAATATTTTTCTATTCGTATTCAATATCCTAAAAAATTAGCTAAGAAGACACTTTTTGGGGCTAGGCAGGTTTTTTTTTTTTTGGTTACAAAAAAGTTTGGGTGAGAAGATACTTCATTCTTTCGCTAGTCAGGGCTTGAGATGTTCCTACCTGACATTAGGCTGCCCTAATTATCACATTATGCTTACTCTAACCCATCAAAATGACCTTGCCATTTCTGTTACAACAAAAACTGAGCATGATGTTGCAACAAACAAAAAGGCCCAGTGGGCCTTCTACAACCTAAAGGAGGATGAATATAATTATGCCAAAGGACTAATTTTACAAATCTTTACAAATCTTTTAGGAACACTAGAAAAAAATAATTTATTTTTAATTTGACTTTTGAAAAAAAATTAGATTGGGTAAAAGTTAAATTAAGTGATATAATTTACGTTTGGATTAGCTTTTATCAATAAGTTAGTTTATAAAAGTAGAAATTGTTTAAGTTATAATTGAATAAGAAATTTAGTTTGTAAAACTACTAAAATAAGTATAACTTTTATTAAATAATAAGCAAGTTTGTGGGTATGAAATTTCCAGAATACCGATACTTAGTGTATATCAAAATTTATCGAGTCATAGTCTCACCAATTAAATTTCTAATGGGAACTTTTCCCTAATTTTTCCTCAATTTTATTATTTAATTTTTTCTTTGAATATTCTTATAAACATCAAATTATTGAATCTTTTGGAGTAATTGTATATTTTTCAACAAAGCAAGATAGGACCCATTTCAAGACTTTTCTCCTGCTTCATGATAATTTTTTCCTCTCAGTAGTGAATAAGCCAAAAGCAACTCCATATTGGCTTATGCTTTTAAGCCGCTTTTGCTCCAAAAGCCAAATTGATCAAAAGTGATGCCAAACATATGAAAAGGTACCAAATGTGCTTTTGACCCCCCAAAGGCTACTTAAAAGCCTTCCAATCGTGTATATTTATTCAACAAAACCACTACAAACAAACCACTACAAATGTGGCTCAAGTTGGCGCCATGTGGCACCAAGTTAGCGCCAATTTTTTAGTGGTTTTCAGAGCCAAAAATCGCTACTAAAGATGACACAAAATTCTTCATCATTAAAGAGCTACAAATTTGTAGCGACTTGGCTTAAAACTGCTACATGCACTTTGTAGTGGTTCTATCAGTAAAAACTACAAAGACAGTTTTTTTTTTTTGGTAGTGGCAATGTGTCAACTATCTTGCTGTGATTATAGATATCAAATCATTTGTTTAGAAATTCTACATGCACAATTACATATTGCCAAATATTCGTAAGGCTGATATATATAAATATATATATATATTACAAATTGAAGTAATAAGCAAAATATACACTAGGTACAAGAACATTAAAATATATAGCTTCTATTTTACTAGTGAGGCATATGCATGCTTGGCTTGAACAGATATCTTAAAAAAAATGTTGAGTAAATGATATCAAAAAAAAGTTTAAATTGTGAAAGTAAAAATATGATCACCGGTAAAAATGAAAGAGCTAAAATGAAGATAGGAACCCACTTTAAGCCATGGTCATATGTCACGAAGAAAGCACTACTAAATGCTATCATCATGCTTGTTATGGAGATAAAGAGTGTTATCAATCCAAATATTAGCTTTGAGGGTAGGGAATGATGAAAGTCATACTCTGCATAACGTGATATGAGAATTGATAAGAAGATTAGTATGGAAGCCGAAGACGAGATCATTGCAATGGCATCTGATATTGCAAATATCATAAATGATCGTTTCCCCAAATAATTTGGAACTCCCGTATCATCCTTAGTACCACCTGGTATGCTAAATGCCGCAGTAAACACACCAGTAGCAATAAGAGTTGAAACAAGCATAGATGAGTTAGCTGTTCCCTTCATCCATAACTCAGCATCTTTACGTAATGCGGCATGCTCCTCAGTGAATAACTCATGAGGAGTTTCACCTTTTGAATTTTTCTTCTTCATATATGATGGCGACACTATCTTCCTCACCTCCTGCCATATCATAAGGGATTGTTCATAAATTAATTCATATAAATATTCTAGTTTATGGGATTATCTAAATCATTTCATAATTACTAATAAAAAAAGTACCTCAAACCATAATATTTCAAACTTCATTTGGAAAGCTGCTCCAGAGACTGATTGAAGTCGATTTGCTGGTGCTAACATTGCAGCCAAATGTAATATACTGTTTTCACTATCTTTGTCTTTATATGACAATATGACATCCTTTCTTCCACTTATATCATGGATGAGATTGAAGATTTTAAGATGACGATGCAAAACAGCAATATGAATTATAGTTTGCCTTTTGTCGTCTAACTGCCACATTAAATAAGGGTAAGACTTTATAAGTACGGCCAAAAAGTCGAAGTTCCCAACTTTTGCTGCATCAAATAATAGCTTTGATGGTTCATTTATGAGTTTCTTGACATTGTCCTTTGAGCCTGCACTCTTGAGAATTTCTTGCCATAAGAGACGAACAAGTTCAAGGGCAACACTGTGCTTTATACCTGGCATACATAATTTGATGAATTGAATATATCAAGTGTTAATGACCAATTTTTCAGTCTTCCAAATAAGTAGTTACAGAGCTAATTAGTTTACCTGAACTTGTGGGATGAATTTGATGTTCTAGCCTATAACTTCCCAAATCTGCTGCCCGAGCCATGATATGTAAAGCTGTCATATCGTCTTCATCTGTTGCAAATGCTAGTAGTGTTGGTTTTTCTTTCAACATTCTCAATGCTAAACCTATGAAATTTTTGAGGATGTAGTGAAGAAATGCAAAATAAAATTAGATGCTGTCAGACAGCTTACAAAAATGTGATTTTTTTTATTTAATATAGACTGAATACCTAATAGTGCCCTACCTATACTTCACATATGGTAATTAAGTGCAGGACTATCCTTGGGTCATGTTCCTTATATTTATTATATCAAGTTCTCCAATAACAAATAACCATGTATTCTATTTTTAAAATATTAGCATTTAATAAAATTTATTAATAAACCCAGGTAGGGAAAAAAAACACATGACTATGTGTGATTGGAAAACTCGCTATAAAAAATATGACTTTTAACGATGAGTCACTGCGGAAAGTCAGACTTTCTGTAGCAACATAAAAAGTCGCAACCGAATGTTTGACAACTTTTTGTATCACTATCAAAAGATTTGAGCTTCTGTGGCGACATGCTAAAGGTTTTCACTTTTAGCCGCAACGGCAGATATCACTGCCAAAACTTACTAGTTTCAGCGGCGATTATATTTTGTCACCACTGAAAGTCTTTTTAAACATCATATTTTTGTAATAATTTTGTTTATGAATGTAATATATTATCAAAAAATAAAGTATTTTCATATATCAGTGTGTCTAGAGCAAGAGAGTTTACAAAATAATGTGACGTTGGTGCATTATTTTTGTTAGAGAGATGATGTAGAGTGAGAGAAGTAGGATGAGGGGGGATGTGCATAAAAGATACATGACATTTATATTTAGTTTGGTGTGTTGGGGAGGTGAAAAGATGGATAATAGATATAAATCATATAATTAAGCCCATAAAAATTTAATAAATTTATCCTCAAGCCATATAGGATATTTTTCTTGCACACCTTAATCAAGATATCCTTATAGGTAGATTAGAAATAATCACATTTTTGTGTAAGAAATATATTAAAAATATATCAAATATATTTATATGATATTATATAATTATTTAATATCATCTTAAAATATCGCTATAATCATACATTTATTCTACAATTTCTAATAAATTAAGAGTTAATAAATAAAAATAATAAAAGCTAAAAATATACGTAAAAATTTAACAACAAATTTTTTTAAAAATTATATAATTAATTTAGATGAAAAATAAATTTTTCAAGCAATGAAAAATCACATGACATAATCTGTAAAAGACTTTTTTTTATTTTTATATAATAATTTTTATTTTTAATTAATATATTAAATAATATTATAAACTAAATATAAATAAAAATATTTATTGAATTTATTATATTTCATTCACTATATAAATATTTTAATTTATTTAAGAAGAATATTACAAATATTTTATCAATATATATTATAAGATATTATATTAATATATATTTACATAATATTTAAAATATATATTAATATTAACATATACGTTAACATATGTATAATTTAACATGTTTATATATTTATATCAAATATATATTATAAATAATATCATATAGATATATATATATAATTTTGTAATAAATAATGTGATTTCATCACAGTTCACATGGCAGGAGGCTCAACACAATAACAAGGAGTTCGAGGGCTTGAATCTTAGCAAGTGCATTTAGGAGGTGAAAATGTTAAGGGCTGACATGGTGTGACGTGGTGGGGGTGATGATGTGGTGACACATGGCAGGGCGATGATGTGCCAAAAGATGGCGGGTAGCAGGGCGTTGATGTAACTTGATATAATCTATGTATAAGTAACTTGAGCTAATTATTTTCCTTTAAGGGTATTCATACTTTATAGGCAACATACACTTACCATAAATACCAGACTCGATGCAAGTGAGGAATAGCTTCTTCCATTCTCCTTCTTCAAAAGTTTCATCGACAGTGGAAGAGTATAGATGGGCTGTCAGATCAGCTCTTCCTTGTAATGCAGCAAAAAGAATAGGAGTGAAACCTGTGCGACTTCTTCTTTTTGGTAAGAATGGATTCTTCTTTAACATGAACTCAACAATCTCCAAGTTTCCTGCAATAGTAGCAAAGGTGAAGGCAGTGTTTCCCATTGAGTCTTGTAAATCCAAGTCTATGTTGTTCTGATTCATCATGCTCACAAGCTCCTCCACAAAGTGGAAATGGCCTGCTCCTGCTGCTATGTGAAGCACCGTTTCCCATCCTTCTGCTATGGCAGCACTCAGAAGCATTTTATTGTGATCTAATATGGGCTTAGCTTCTTCCCAATTGCCTTCAGACGCATACTTGTGAAGAGGTACACATAACTTGAAGTACCTCATTCTGGCGTCCGCTGAAACAAAAGTGATTTCACTGTGAAATTCTCATACTATCAGTTGGCTAATTTGGGGATATTAAAGAAATTATTAAATTAATTTAAAGTATTTATATTTATCATTTTTCTTCAAATTAATTTGATTAACTTATAAATTGATATATAATCCAGTGATGCGCATAAGTATTTTAGAGAAATCATTTATATCTCTCTAAATTAATCAATTGAGTTTTATGTTAAGGATTAGAGGTAGAGATTTTTTTGGGATGTGATCAATTTATGGGAAAGGTTGTCTTTTCTGGAGAGCCAAAATTTAAGCATGAGGAGGTCAAGATAGAAAGGGATGTGTGTAATAGGTTAAGATTGATCCAACACTTGGATTATTTTACTAGGTGCATCGACTACTTTAAAGTATTTAGTGGTTTGTCTATTACTCTGTGTCCAACATTTAAATATTTTGTAGTTCATTTAACATCCTATTAGATTTTTTCAAGTGTGTTTATCACCCTGAATACCATACCCAAAACCCTAAATCAGGGTATTTGACACAACTATGAACATTTTGCAGGATGCTAAATGAACCACAGATTACTTTAAGATGCTGGATATATTTGGAAATACACTTCAGCAAGGTACTTTATGAACCACTAGATATCTAAGGAGGTTGGATGGATCTTGACCCTATATAGTATAAATTCTAATGTGCACAAAATTTATAACAAGTATAATATTAAAAAAATTGAAAAATTAGGGAACAGTTGCCCAGTCCCCCTCCCTCCGTCACTAGTTTATTAAATATTCATCACCAAAATTTCCAATGAACATACACCAAGTGGACAACACAGTGCTGAAAACAAAATAATGTATAGAGTGCTAAGTTATTTTTATGAAGCAGCTTAGTAACTAAAATACTGCCAAACAAAAAGGTTAAAATATATGTGAAAATATAAATATATGGAAAAGAAATTAAGATTGTAGAGATGAGATGTTTGATTTTATATCATTTTCTTGTCATGTGTACGAACACATAAACGTAAAATGGAACATAATTAAAATTTATCTTAATATCAAAGGGATATTTGATGATATGTATCAAATTGATTTTTTCATTAAAGAATACTTTTAGCCCTTTATTTTGGTCTCTTAACTTTAGAAAGTATATTTTTAGTTATTTAATCATAAATCATTAGTCTTAAATAATGATTTTTATTTTGTAGAAGTCATGGTTATTTTGAAAATTAAACTTGATATATTAGCTAGCATTTGAGAATGTTTTATCAATATTCATGATCTTAATATTATTATTTTTTGTTAATGATTTTAGGATTAAAAGACCAAGAATATAGTTTTTAAAGTTAAGGAACCAAATTAAAATTTTGTATGAAGTTAAAAGACTAAAAGTATATGTTAGTCAATTTTTTTTTTTTAGCGTTATGGAAAAATCATGAGGAACCACAAAAATAACTGGACACATTACTGTTTTATTGGACATTAGAGAGAATGAAGAGAGCAGTTAATTACGTGTATCATCCTGTAAAAAGTCAAGGGAAGGTCTCTTAAACTCAGCTGATTTAACCTTCCGTAATAGGGGGTTACTACGTACTTCAGGAGGATTCACTATATCACCACCTGATGCATCCATTATCTGCAAAGTTATACACACTAATTAACACTTCGCTGTATTCGTGTTAGCATGTGAATTTTCTATTAATTTTATTTTTAAAAAGAACAAGCACGTATCACTCCTGCGGATAAAAACTGCGATAATAATACATACACACACAGTACATATACACTTCGATAATACGCATACACATATGTGCTCCTTTGGGTCCTAAATGTATATATAGTCAATCTGATAGGTTTGGTTTTGCGCCAAATATAAGGACTCATGCCTCTAATCTCCTATATTAAATTTTCATTCCCATAATAGCCTTATTTATTGGGTTTGGTTTATCCTTACACATTAAATTTTAATCATTAACTCTCAACTTATTAATTACGAAAAAATCAACTTACCTACTTTTCTTTTTGAAATTTACGAATTAGTTAACAGAACTTATAGTTAGGACTAAAGGGATAGATTTTTCGGTCAATCATATATATTATACATGAATGATAATAATTAAATTGTTTAATTATGACTTTTTCGTTCGCCAGAGATACTCATAAATCTTTAATTATGACAAACTATGATTGTTGAATTTTTTTTTACCAACAATTAATGAAATCAAGAGGGGTATTGAATGTTCGGGGAAATTATTATTAGTACAAGAAAGCAGCTCTGCATTTTAATGACTTCACCAAAGCAATGATTATATTGCTGTGGTTGATCATTATTTTATCTTTGTGGTTGAAGAGCCTTTCCTCCAAAGTTTCCATTTTCAAAAATCTACGAAAGGATATAATTAGATGAAAATTTAAAAGCTTAATCATAAAGATTAAAATATAGAAATTATATTTATTTTATACAATAAAATTTTTATTTCTTTAAACTTAAAATCTGTATAATTTGACTAATAAGCTTCTGGTTTTAGCAGAAAGGGTTTGACCACTTAAGCATGTGGTCTTCGAGTGTGTATGAACGTAGAAAATATCTTTGAAAGAGATATCCATTGGACATGACAATACTCAAATCCAGCCCACCCAGATTGCTATATCAAAAGAAAACGAATATTTATAATTTGACAAAAATGAATTGAGCCCAATGTAATTTCAATAATAATCCTCCATACCGGTAAAACGTCATGGGAATGTCTCTTGAACTCAGCTGATCTGACCCTACGTAACTTGGGGGGACTAGGTCCTTCACGAGTATGCCTTAGATCTCTGACTGACGCATCCATTTATCTGCAAAATCATAAGCAATAATATGAGCTCAATGTCAGCATGTGAATTTCGTATCAATTTTTTTAATTAAGCACTTATTCCTCCTTATCAAAAATGTGAAATAATATATACGTATATACTTAAATAATTAAAAAATTGCTTAAAGATCCCTACTAACAAAAATTATTGCCCAAAAGTATCTAAGAACTAAGAACCTAAAGTGGGTAGAACTCTACTTCAACTGTGCGCATCGCATCTTTAACTATGTACAAATATTTTCTATTTTGCACATAATTGAATATAGTTACATTAGTATACAACTAAAATATAGTTGCACTCACTGAAGATAGATTGCACTGGTCCTCAAACAAATTTTAGGTACCTTTGATAGATTTCGCAATTGAGTGGTATTTTTTTTTTTAGCAATTTTCCCTAGATAATACAGGCGTATATCTTCCCTTTGGTCCTAAATATATGGTTGATGTGAGAGTTTTGGTTTTGAACTAAAAATAAGGCCTTATTCCCTCTTGTCTCCTATATTAAATTTTTTGTTCTTATAATAGTCCTATTGTACGGTTTTTATAATCTTTAGACATAAAATTTTAATCATTAAGTGGTATTTTTGAAAAAGTGGTACAAATTAATTCTCAACATATTAATTACAAAAAATGAGCTTGACCAGTATTTTTTTAATTTATGAATTAATTAAAGGGACATTATATTTAGTACACGAGGTGGTAGTAGATTATTTCGGTCAACTATATATAAATATTGATTAATTATTAATTATTAATTATACATGACAAAGTATAAGTGTGTTACTTTGTTTTTTACGAACAATAACTGAAAGCAAGGTATTGGATGTTTGGTGAAAATAAAGGAACAAAAAACCAGGCAAATACTAAATCAGTCAAGGTAGTAGTTTTCAAGGATTAGTGGGCTTGATTGATGTATAACTCAGAATCAAACCGGTCATATTAAAATAATATAAGTTAATTAAAAATAATAAAATATAGCAACATTAATAATCACTAATAAGAGAAATAAGAAAATACAACAATAGTTTGATCATAATAATAATAAAATACAATAACATTAAAAATGTTCATCTTTACAATTCTTCAGTAACTAAAATTAATAATTATTGATGTCAAAATCATCATTAAAATTTATTCAAATTTATAATAACTAAGATAGTAGGAGTTAAATAAAAAAAAAATAGAATCAATGATAACATAGTTATTCAAAATAGTTCATCACCGAGTTTCACCGATTTTGACCGGTTTGGTTTACTCTGATTAGAACCGGTTCCCAGTTTAAGGTACGGACTAGATCCGGCTTCAGGCCTATTCACTGGTTTTCAATTTGAATCATCCAGTCCGGTTTTTGGTTCTCTAAGTGAAATTAAGCAAGTTCGAGGAAGCAGATTTGCGTTTGGCTCTGCCCCAATAATTAAGGACTTCGGCAAACCAATGATTTCGGTGGTTGATCGTTATTCTATCTTTGTGGCTGGAAAAGTGAAAAGTCTTACCTCCAAAAGTTTTCATTTTAAAAAATTTACAAGGGAATATAATCGTAAGAAATTATAGAAACTTAATCGTTAGGATTAAACTATAAAAATAATATTTATTATATAAAATAAAGTTTTTCATCTCTTCAGACTTAAAAACTCTGTATAATTTGACAAAAATGAACTAAGATTCCTCAGTAATTTCAATAATAATCCTCCATACCTGGAATTTCGACGGCAACAGGAAATTTTCCTCTCGCAGCAATTGCCTAGAACCAGTTTCTAGAATCGAAGAGTTAGTTTTCTGGGACATAATGTAAAAAATTACTATTCCTGAACGGTATGCACAGAAAACGAGACTTAAAAGATCTGAGTCATACTTTAAAGTTACTCTCCGACGTCCCTGATGAAATCACAAAGGTAGCCCAGGAGGAAGAAAAATTAAAGTAGAATGAAACGAAGTCGAAAACATATAAGTGAGATTTATTGAAGGAAATTCCTTTCGTAAACAGATGAGCAATACGGCTACCATCTACTGTTGAAGAAGATGAAGTATCTGTAAATGAAAAGAGAAAGAAGACCCTTATTTTACCTTATGGGATGGCTATATATGCTCTTTGCTTTTAGAGTGATATTGCTTAGTCCTTCCGTGGTGTGACAGGAGAACGCGCGCGCGCGCTCGCACACATATATAGCGGCGAGAGAGAATCTGCGGGACGGCTCTTAGTCAATCTAGAGTATTAAGTCAATTCCAATAATTAAATAACGAGCACACGGAGACCAAAAACAGTGGTTTCCCTCGCCTTATCTGTATGGATGAGCCCCATTTTCTTAGGTTTTTATTTTTTTTTTAAAGAAAAAGCAACAATATGAATTAACTAATCATCTTTAATTTCTTGTCGTTGTTAAGTTTGATAATATCTTATAAGCAAAGATAAGTTGTAAATATATAAGTAATCATGCATAATTTAACCTAATTGAATAAGTTAAATTGCAATTTGTAAGTGTCTTCGATCTATCCCACTCATATTACTGTGTATATTTCATACTGATTACCGTATAGCAGAACTTAAATTGCATTGAGATTTTAAGGTGATGAGATGCGATTAGATTAGGCCGTGGTGGTCCCATACCTAGTGTCATGCAAGGCATATTGAGTTAGATTAGGAGTTTTATTTTAAGTCTTTAAGGAGTTTTATTTTAAATCGTTAACAATTGTTTACAACCAAATGCATCTGACCTCATGTTATGCAAATAAAAATAGCATGTCTTAGTGGGGGGAGAGAGAGAGTTACAATTGCCCTAATTCTTTGTGATTTTTTTGGTTCATTCGTTATTCCATTATTTTTGTTAAAATGTATTTAGGGGAAAGCACAATGGTTGAAGGGATTGGTGCCTTATTTGAAATTCAATTGATTTTATATTTCTCCTTATTCTTATTTATTTGCACAACAGTTAGAGAAATTGGACATCAAAACCTGACCTAAGCCTACCACCTTTTAGAGGGGCCGAGACCTTACTACCCATTCCAAAGGTAGAAGAATAGAGTGTGCATTGTATGATTAAATGGCAATTTTACCCTTAAATTACTTGATGATAAGCACTGATAAGAACCTTGTGGTGCCACGCCTTAGGGTTCTCAATCAATAGTTTAACTAAGAGATGCAATATAATGCAACCTCGGGTCATGTTCACTTTTGGGAGCCTTTATTAATGTCCTAAGATAATTAAATGCCATAAAATGCAATAAAATGAGGTTTTGGTTTGGAAAAGTAATTTAAACTATAACTAAATGAATGCAATGAAATTAAACCCAGGCTATGATATTTTTGGTATTTTTATATAAAATGGAAATGAATAATAGGAAATCTCTTGAAAATAGATTTGATGGCAATCATAATTTACTCAAGATAATGGAAGTTTTGTAAAAATCATTAGTTTTCTTAATTAACAACCTGCATGACCCATTGAGTCCAATATTTAAACCCATGAACCTCATTAATGAAACATTATTAAGCCCTTCTAATGTACAATTTGAGAATCATTAATACAATTGGTTCAATACAACTCTAAATCAACTCAATGCTCAAACATAACCATCCAAGATACGAGAGAATCAAAAGAGCCACAATGAAATACATATGTAACTACATATAGTAAAGCACAAAATTCAACATTAACCAATCTAAACTACAAATATAAGTCATTAAACAATGATTTCAGCCACAATCCAAGTGTCCAACTAAGAAATACAACTCCCAAGACCTATAAATCATAAATACATAGCTAAAACTAAAGACTGAAACTAAACACCTCTTTAAAGCTTGGAAACTCTTGCCTCTCACCATCTTAATCCTAGCTACACATAGCCTCTGAAATAGAACCAAATGGGATGAAACCTTCAGCCGTGGACAGGAAATGAAATAAAATGGATGGGAATGGAGAGATGAAGGTAGAAATAGAAGTAAAGGAAGAAAGAAATGGAGAGACGAGAGATGAAGTGAATGGAAGTAAAGGAACTATGTTAGGGTTTGAATGAGTCTTCCTCTTCTATGATTGGAGTCACCAGATCTAATGTAACCCAAAGCCCAAAATGCTGTTCTGCTGATACGATGGGTTTGCCATGGCAAACTACACAAAGAGCCACTTCTTGGTCTTTTATGGTGTCTAATCCCTTGGTTTGACTCCTTGGCTCCTTTTCTCTTGTGTCCTACAATGAAAATCAATGTTTCATAGCGTCAATTGTCCTATAAATTGATTAAATACAATTAAATATGAAGTATGATGATTTAGCCCTAAATTAAGCTTAATTCGATGCAAACATTCTTAATTTGGATTATATAGAAATGCATGTAAAAGAGCCCATGAAACTTAATATAAACCCTTAAAATGGTAAGAAATAATATATAAGAACTGGGTTCAATCAATAACTTTGATCTAATTTGAGTTATTGATTATTAGAGCAATGTTGCCCCTCAGGCTTCAAAATCGCTGCAATGTCACTCTTAAGCTAATAGATATTAATGTCAACCATTGACTCTAGATTGACTTTAAGTTGGGTTAAAGAATATTGTTGTCTCTGAAGTATACATGGAAGAGTAACTAGCATGAGTTTAATAATGTCGAGAAGTTGATATCATTGCTTTTTGTGGAAACATGTTGCGTTTTGTTTAAGGTGATCACATGTTTTGCCAACCAGTATTTATCAGTAAAAGAACAAGTCTATTAACGTAGCTAGAGAAACAATCAATTAGAAACGTTTGCACAAGTCAGATATGCCTATCCTAACTTGCTCGTTAGGCACTTGTTGCTAAAAGAAAAATCTCTCAACCTGCACTGAAGGTTAATAGCAAAACATCATGTGCATGTTCTATTAAAAAGGAAAAAAGGTTTGTTAGATAGATACAATCTATGATAATATTATTATCAAAATTTAGGATACCAGTTACTATTTATTTCATGAATACTTCAGGGGCAAAAGTACTCTAAATTTAATTTGAGGTAGTCAATTTTAATGCCTGTTAATATCTAGAGGTGATATTACAACTTCCAACAAATAGCTTAGGATAACTAATACTCTTCAAGAAATAGTTCGAAGTTAAAATTGTCTTTTAACCTGATAATTTAGATTTTTTTTTTTTACATAACTGACCCAAATTTTATAGAAGTTTTGTATAATTTAGCCATAACTAAATGAGTAGTCGTCATGATCAAATTAGAAGTGACGTTGAATGATGATGTGCTTGATTTGGGAGAAAAAGGATCTCAAATAGTATAAATTTTTCTTTTTCGTGATAAATAATATAAACTATTATTAAATCAAAAGCTTGCACGTAAATAATATGATAGATTATAAATTTTATATTTTATATTGATGTTAATGAAAGTCTTCATTGTCTATATAGCTATTACCATCATATACCCTTTTATTTTCGAATCTCCAAATACAAGTTATCATTACTATGTCTCTTTCATTCCCTTTTATATCCTCCCTCATTCTAATTATGTTTTAATGGAAACATTAACTACACGGGACCCAGTTTCCCTACTAAGCATAGTGATGAGCACCAAGCGCTCATCACTCAAACGCATCGTTTTACTAAATAATGGAGAAATCTTTGCCATTGGTTATATGATAATCCTAACCATCCAATTCTGAAATATCCTTGCTGTAATGTGGGAAGACTACAATGGATGAGGCTAGACTCCGTTTCTCTCGCAGAACCAATTTTCTGGGAGCCTCATCGGTGGTGGCTGTCCTTATTTACACCCAAACAAATATTATATATGTAATTAAAGAAACAACTAGAAATTATAGACAGATTCAAAACCAACCTATGATTAGAATGTCAAGCTCCTCCTTCTATCTGAAACTTTGCGTTGAAAGAATAGAAACTTTCAAAAATTCCTGTAGTACTTTTAGTTCGGACACCTTCAATCTCAAAGCTTTTTTTATTTCATGTCTTCCCCCAACCTCAATCGCAGAAACTCTTTTTCCTCTAAAAGTTGGTGCCAAGCGTGTTAGAGACTCTTTAATTAGGTTAATGTTGAGAAAATAATTTTATTTATTTAATTACATTATCTTTGAGATTTCATTCTTGATATATAATTTTTTTCTAATCATAATTTCCTAATGAAAATAAAAGAAGTATTTTTGCCATCAATCATTTCGTGATTCCGTATCTGGTCAGGAATCACAATTTTTGAAAAACTACAACTGAATGAATAGAACAATGGAGCCTTGCTTGCTACTAATTGAAACGATGTGTTTGGGTGATTGGTGCTCATCACAGTGCTTAGCGGGGAAACTAGGTCTTAACTACACGACAGCAAGAATGGAAAGGCTCGAGAAGACTTATCAAAGATCAAATTTGAGGGTGGCTAGTTAGAGAGTGAGAATAACTGTTAGAATAATGTATGAGAGGATGCCAAAAAAAAATATATATATATAAGAAGCGTGGCTGACCAAAAGTAGATCCTTTTTGTGGAGTAATATCTTCATCTTTATCTTTTCCAACTCCACTGTGTTCACCCAGTTAATTAGAAGTCACCGACGCTGCAATTCCAGTGCATCGAAAAGTAATCCCTTTCCCTCCTATACATTATTAAAAAAAATTACAAAAAAACTCCTTATGATAAGATACCTTCCGAAAAAATAGACTCTTCATATTATAGATTACCAACTGATCTCATGTTTCCAATATTATCTCATTAATTGGAATTTACATGACTTATTGGATGTAATTTATGGAATTAAATATGGATATGTTCAGATTTTGTTTTTTAATTTCAGGCAAAGCTAATGATTTAACCATTTCTCTTTGAATTTGATGTAGTTAAATCTGCTTTATAATAAAAACAAAAAGGAGTAGATAGATAGATTCAAGAAATAAGTGTCATCATCCACGCAACTACCCTGGCACTTCCAATCTCTCTATCATAAATGTCCCCACGCATGTGACAACTTAATTACAATAATGATGCTTAACCATATGACAAGGGGAAAGGCGAAAAATA